ATGTGGCCCTTGCACTGAAAACTTTGCCCACCCCTGGTCTATGACATCCTGCCACGACTCTGCCTCGTTTATAAAGGATTTCCAACAAAGGTAGTTTTCAGGGAATGTAAGAGGTAACACAGGATATGGAGAGTAACGTGGATAATATTGGAAACGACGAAACGCATCAAACAAAACATTTTCAATTGTATATATGGTGCGATGGATAAATTGTCTTCTAAATTACGCAGAAATATAAATAGCACTGACATTTCATTTTCAGATATACAGGGGTTGGACAAAATAATTGAAACACTTGTTAAATTCAAAGAAAATATATTTAATATGGAGCTGGTCCTCCTTTAGCCTCACAAACAGCTTTAATACGTCTAGGAATGGAATCATACAGCTTCCTGACTTCATCTAGAGGAATTTTCAGCCATTCTTCCATTAAAACCTTCTCCAGCTCTTTACGACACGACGGTGGAGGTTAGCGGCTCCTAAATTGTTGCTCCAAAATGCACCACAAATGTTCAATAATATTGATATCTTGGGATTGGGGAGGCAACTCCATGTGTTCGAGCTCACTTTCATGCTCTTCATACTAATTTTTAACCATTCGAGCGGTATATATTGGAGCATTATCCTCTAGGAAGATGCAGTTACCATCAGGGAATAAAGTCTTGGCCATTGGAGGAACATGATCTCCCAAAATGTTCAGGTAATCTTTGCTGTTAATTCTACCATGCAGGGCAACTATTGGACTGAGACATTTCCATGATATGGCGTTCCAAACTATCACTGACCCACCTCCATGCTTCACTGTTGGAAGAAAGCACTCAGGGTTGTAAGCTTCTTTGGGCTGCCCCCACACATAAACTATTCCTGAAGGTGGGAAAAGAGAAAAAAACTGGATTTGTTTGAGAATATGACTTGCTTCCATTGGTCTACAGACCAGGCATTGTGATCTCTGCACTACTGCAACCTCTTTTGAATGTTGCGAGTGAAGAGAAGAGGTTTCCTCACAGCGGCTCTTCCATGATATGCATCCTTATGGAGTTCACGGTGAACAGTTTTAGTAGAAACTGAACTATTCAGATGATTATTCAACTCAGCAGCCACTTTGGCCGCATTTGTCTGATGATTTTTACCACATTGCGTTTCAATGCACGTCAGTCCCTGTCAGTAAGTTTGCAAGTCCGGCCCGAATTGCTACGGTTGCTAGAGGTCTTGCCCTGTTTCTCGAATTGCATCAGTGTTCTTGATATGGTAACTCTTGAAAAACCAAACAGTTCAGCAACCTTAGTGATCGAGGCTCCTGCCATGCGAGCTCCAACAATTTGATCTTTTTCGAACTCGGAGAGTTCACGGATTTAGCTTAAATTTTACTAAATTCTAAAAATAAATAAGACAAAGACAGTAAATTAGATAAATAAACGTATTTACAATAGATATAACCTGCAATTATGAAGTTTTAGTTAAAGTTCTTAATATAATAGGTCTTTGAAATATAGAAGTGGATTTTGCAACTGTTCCAATTATTTTGTCCAAACCCTGTATATTTACCGAAATTACACAAAAATATCTTGAAATAAAAAAAAAATATTAAATTTATTCAATGAAATAGCCATTTGCTTCAGCCACGGTCTTCAGAAGACTTCGGAATGTCCTGTAACACTTCATGACGGTTTCTTTGTTTATGTTGCTGAATGCTGTCATAATGTTTGCCTCCAATTCATCTTTTGTGTTTTAACACAAAAAAGTTTTTTAGTTTCTCGTTCTACAGCGCACCACACATATTAATAAAGCGGATTGCATTCTGGGGAGTTGCCAGGCATAGAATCTTTCAGCACCCACCCTCCTGACACAGGGCAGTACTACCGCCTCAAGGCACTTGACATAGACCTCCATGTTGAGTATGAGACACTGTGGGAACATGAATGGAAGCATAACGTTGCCATCACTAGTGATTTCTCCACACACATTCGTAATCACCATTAGACTCACCTAACTCTTTCCTAATCCTGTGCAATGTCCATAGATTGACACTCAAACACTCTGAAATGTTCGTATTGGAGCTTCCGGCGCAAACAGCAAGCAACACAGCATTCCACTTCCAAATTTCTTGAGGAATGAATTGCGTCATAGTGCTCTTTTTGTAACAGTCGCTGCCCAACTGACTCCAATATGCAGTCAACAAAATTAAAAATCGAAATTAAAAATATAAGATGGCGAAAATTTACCCATCGTACCCTGTGTGTATCTCTCTCTCTCTCTCTCTCTCTCTCTCTCTATATATATATATATATATATATATATATATATATATTTGTTTGAATAAAAAAGCAGACCACTTTAAGGTTCCATGTAATAAATTATTTCACCACAGCCCTTTTAAAGGGTTCTGGATCATCAGACATTATTTTCAAAGGTTGAAATGAAAAATGAAAAGAAATTTACACATTTTTGACGGGCCGTATTAAGCATATGCAAATTAACGAAGTGAGGAAGTGAGGGGGGAGAGAAGGCATAGTGAGTCTACTCCATAAGGATTACATAGTTTTGCATTAACTAAATATATATATATATATATATATATATATATATATATATATATATATATATATATATATATATATATATATATATATGAGATAATTTTAAGAGCCAGATAAACCTACTTATTACGTTTCACCTCAAAACGGATCTTCAGGAATATTATGTGACTGTTCTGTGTTTCTCTGAAGATCCGTTTAAGTGAAACCTAGGTAGGTTCGCCTGTCCCCTTAGGATTATCTTAGGTTTTGCTCTACTTAGTGTATTGAGAACTTTATGTAGTTGTCTTTTTACTCGTTTTTTTTTCTTTGGACTTGGAGTTTAAACACTGGACGATTGTTTTCGCCTTGTTTAAATGTTCTTGGTTCTTCTTTATTTTGCTCCACATTTGTTCTACTGAAAGTTGAACTATTCGAGGTTATTACAAACGAGTACCACCATATATATATATATATATATATATATATATATATATATATAATTATTATTTATAAAAAATATAACATAAGTATGTTATAAAATAACTACAAAAATAGCCATTTGGTTTCAACACCCTCGTCTATTTTTGTAGCGATTTTATAACATAATTATGTTATATTTTTTTTATAAATAATAATTATATCTGCTCTACATTGTATTGAGCACTCTTTTAAGAATAGTAATTGTTCGTTATTGGAATTCATTCCGTATATACCAATTATATACTTATATATATATATATATATATATATATATATATATATATATATATTAATTTAAAAAAACAGACCACTTTAAAGGCTCCATTGTAATAATTTATTTCACCAGAGAATTTTATCCTTCTCTGGATCCTCAGACTTCACTTTCAAAAGGTGAAACGAAAAAATGAAATTAAAATTTACATTTTGACGGGCAGTATTAAGCTTATATAAGTGGACATAGAGGGTGGTGAGGGATGCTATGAGAGACATGGTTGAGTTTAGCGAGGGAAGGGGGAGTTTTAAAATTTATTTTTATATTTCTTTTTATAATATTTAATATTGACGAAGGAGGAGGTAAGGATCAGACATTGACCTATTTAATCGTTCAACTCAAATGATATGAGAAAAGGAAAAAAGAGAAAAAAAATAAAAAAAATAAAAAGGGAAAAAGAAAAAAAGGGGGAAGTAAAGAGAAAAGCGATGAACGTAGAGTTTTTGGAGGAAGAAGAGGTGTGGTATAGTTTTAGCAATTTAGATAAAAACAGATTTTAACGTTTTATCGTAATTTAAATGTTTAAAAACTCGACAAATAAAATAAATTTGATGCTTGCTAGCAATTTAAATATTCAGCTTCTCCACAATTAAATTAGGGATTTCATATAAGTTTAATAAAATTAATAAACAACAATAATAAAAAACAATAGAAAAAATTACTAAAAGTAATATTTTTATATGGTTGCTATGATGTTGATTTGGGGTTAGTAGAGACAAACGCCAAATAACACGTAACAATAAAAAGTGTTTTAATAGGTTGGTAAAAAGGTACAGAAATCGCCTGAGTAGTCAATAACTAGCACAGCTAAGAACTTCTCTGTCTATCTATCTTTCATGTCAACTGACATGCCACTATTTAAAGTCTTTGTTCACAGACAAGTTCATCTTCCAGAGGGTTGGTAGGTTTCCGACTCAACAATGGCGAATGACTGTTAAGGTAAAATCTTTATCAGTTAGAGTCTAATTCAAGAATTTAATTTGTAGCTATATTTAGATAGGTAATATATAATAATGGACTCTCCCGTCGATTTCGACGTATGAGGATCTGCCAGCTTATTGATTCAGTTATGAAAGTAATAGGTATATATATATATATATATATATATATATATAGATAGATAGATAGATATATAGATATATAAACACTCACACACATACACACATATATATTTGTGTGTGTGTGTGTGTGTGTGTGTGTGTGCGTG